CTGTTTGCTTTCTTTCCGCCATGTGAGTGCTTCTGCTTCTTACTGTTTCATCAATAACCAGGAAAACTGTGTCAGTCAGGTGTTACAGGTCAGAATTTGGAGTCCATTCCTTCCAGTCCTGTAATGAAAAGGCCCGGGGAGACTCTCAGTCTCTCCTGCAGGGGATCTGGTTCTGAATTTACCTGCTGTGCTATGAGCTGGATAAGACAACAACCAGGAAAAGGACTGGAATGGATAGGAAACCTTCCAGCAACAACAAATATGCGAGTAGTTTGAGTGGACGTATAGAAGTCAGTAGAGATGACAGCAACTACATAGTGTATCTGAGGCTTTCCAACTTAAAGCCAGAGGACTCCGCTGTGTATTACTGTGCCAGACACACACAGTGGTTTAAGTAATGAGAGGCTATATAAAACCTTCAGCCATATAGTTTTACAGGAATCTACAGTGGGCAGTAGATGATCAAGAATATAATGTTCATCTCACTTCCACGTGTGAATACAAATTTAAAAAATGCAATAACCTCTAACAAACATATCAGAGAATAAATGTATAAATACATTTAAACACTAGCAATCAACCATCAATATTTTGAGTCTACCTTGAGTCTGTATGTTTCAAGAACATAGCTTTAAAAAACATGTGTTGTTTGTTTTTTATTTTGAGATAGAGAACTTAGTTCAAGTATTTTATTTGTCTCTTTCCTAGGTGTTCCAGAGAAAAGGATGTTGATCCTCAAACAGTGAATAAAAGCAAACACATCTGGAAGTATTTAAAACATGCTTTAGTCAGAGAGTTTATCAGTACAAGAGACAACAGCAGGGTCAAACAGTCATTTCCCTTTTTCCTAAACATTTTCCTTGAAGCTTTCATGAGGAGGACCAACGATGAGAAAGAGGAAAAACATTGACATACAATCCACATACACTAGGCTACTTTACTTTTGTATTAATGAACAGTGTTGATGTGGATCTGCTGTGGTGAATATATAAGTTTTGAAATGTAGCATACAACAACGGTGTTTCATATAGATTTCTTCATCAGATTCAGTATAAGAGAACACGGCACCAGAAGAAACCCAAACTGAACTCTACTGAAACAGCAAAGATGATGTTTGTAGTATAACTTTTAAAGAACTGGGACAAAGCATACCTGGGTCAACAACTTAAAGACCCTTCCCTAACTCGATTTGATGGCCACCTTTTTCCTTCCCTTTGACAGGATGAAACCTTCAGCAGAACCAAAGTCAGAGACGGCAGCTCTCTGTTCTGACTGAGTGGCGTGACTAAAAAGCAAAATCACCAGACACAACAGAAGCAGCATGGTGTATCTGAGACTATCCAGTGTAAAGCAAAACCAACCACAGTAACAAAAATCATCAGGAGATATAAACATGAACCTGAACACTCTTGATATGAAACCACCAGAAGAGGAACCCTCAGAACACTAATGATTTCCGATCAGTATCATAAGAAACATCTTAGATGTACGTTAGATAATGTTGAAAATACATGAATATTATACATAGATATAAAACTCCACACAGAAAAACCAGAACCAGGTAGTGGATTCAAACCCAGAACCTTCTTGCTTTGAAGCAAAAGTGCTAACTGCAAACACAGGCCTTTCTGTGTGGAGTTTGTATGCTCTCCCAGTGTCTGTGTGGGTTCTTGCCACGTACTCCCACAGTCCAAAGATGTGCAGTTAGTGGTGTTAGGTTGACTGGTGATTCTTTCACAGTGAAAGGAAAAACCTTGTAGGGAGACTGAGAGCCACCACAGGACTGTCAGGAATAGACTCTTTACTCTGACCTGTGACATCTGATGAACACAGTTTTCTGACTCTAAGTTGGAAAACATCAGATATGTCATACTGTTGATGTCATCCTGACTGACTTCTATATGTCCTCCCAAACTGCTCACATATCTGTTATCATTGGAAGGTCTGTGGCCAACTCTTATCCATTCCAGTCCTTTTCCTACTTGTTCTTTTGCCCAGTGCATGGCACAGCAGGTAGATGAGTAACAATGAGGACAGAGTGAGAGTCTGCCCAGGCCTTTTCACTACAGGACTAGAAGGAATAGAGGCCATAGTCTGATGTGTAACACCTGAGGAAATGAAAACAGAAAGGATGTGCTGGTATGACTGACTGACACAGTGTTTCCTGGTTAATGATGAAATGATGAAATGAAAACAGATGAACCACCAGAAAGGGAGTTCTTCAAAATGTTCTGGCATCAGTGACTGACCAACAGTAAGCGTGTCCTGGTAAATGATGAAACAATATGAAGCAGAATCCTAAACAAATGCAATTCTGTCAGGATTAGAACCACAAATAGTCCTTTGTTTCAAAAGAATTGAAACACTTTATAAATAGAACAACATTTTTTTCAAATCATTTAAACTCATTTTTTTTTTTTTTTAGTAAAAACAAGCTTACTACTATATAGTTCAAGTTTTATAAAATTTAAGAGTCAGGCAATCACAAAGGAAGAATGCTGCTATTTTACATGGAGACAATGTTGCCATATGGAGGGGTATCTTCATTAACAAGAGCACAGGACAGCCTGTTTTAAAAAGCTTGTGCTGAGAGATACCTGCGGCTCTCCTGGATACTACGTTCTTATTTTCTTTAGGAAGAGTTCCTAAACTCATGCAATAGTTTCCAATTCAATTCAGTTCAATTCAATTCAAACACTTGGCCAATACTGTATCATGTCATAATTCAGTGCTGCCTGTCTGAATGGATGTTTACGTATACTTTTCTTTTACAAGTAAAGCATGAAAGAGAGTGTGATAATTACTATATGTTTATCTTTTTATGGCTGAGTAAATCTTCTAAAGAAATGTTTATAACTACTGACTGTGAGGGAGTCATATTATTTCTTGCGATATATATTCTAGTTATAAAACACATAATAATTAAAAAAGAAAATTTGATATCTCTGTTTAAAATGTCCTAAATTAAGGTAAAATTAACAGTTATAAGGAATAACAGATCAGAGCCACACCTTCTTCATTAAATCCTGATGCAAATGCAAATGTGTGAAGTGTACTTCTTTCCTGCTGACCCATCTTGTACTTTGTGTTGATCATCAGAGCAGCAGTGGAGACTCTTCAGGCTCAAGATGACAAACACACTCACTCTGCTGCTGTTTGCTTTCTTTCTGCCATGTGAGTGCTTCTGCTTCTTACTGTTTCATCATTAACCAGGAAACACTGTGTCAGTCAGTCATACCAGAACATCCTTTCTGCTTTCATCTCCTCAGGTGTTACAGGTCAGAGTTTGGAGTCTGTTCCTTCCAGTCCTGTAGTGAAACGGCCCGGGGAGACTCTCAGTCTCTCTTGTCGAGGATCTGGTTCTGAATTTACCTGCTGTGCTATGAGCTGGATAAGACAACAACCAGGAAAAGGACTGGAATGGATTGGGATTAGCTTCACAGATACTAGCAGAAACAGATATGTGAGCAGTTTGATTGGACGTATGGGAGTCAGCAGAAATGACAGCAACTACATAGTGTATCTGAGGCTTTCTAACTTAAGGCCAGAGGACTCCGCTGTGTATTACTGTGCCAGAGACCCACAGTGGTTTAAGTAATGAGAGAGGTTTTACAAAAACCGTCAGAAATACAGTTTCACAGGGACCTACAGGGGGCAGTATATGACCAAAAATCTGATGTTCAACTCATTGTCACAATAACACCTGTGATTCTACCATCTGTAAATACATATTTTTTAAAAGCTAGAGTATTTCTATGTAAATGAACATGATAAATATTGATAAAAACATTTAATTTAAGCATTTCAAGATTTAATATAGTCATATTACATTTTTCAGAATTTTAATTTATGGGATTTTTTGCTTTTATTTTTTTTTCTTCAAGAAAGAGAAATTAGAGCAACTTTTCTTTCTTTCTTTCTTTTTTCTTGTTCTTTTTTAAAGTATTGTCTGGCAAACACAACAACAGCAAAGACATTACAGTATCAGATGAAGTATTCACAATGTGTTTTGGTCTGTCATCCAAAGACTGGATTACGTGCTCCAGAGACAACAGCAAGGTGGAGGTTGAATAGTCAAAAAAAATAACATTTAGACTTTTCCTAAGCATTTTTTCTTGAAAATGCCACGAGTTCAAGTAAAAATCTGATGTAGAAACACGAATGTGTTGCTTAGATAATCTGACTGCACCTATACTACAGTACATTGATAGAACTACTAGACCACCTACTCAGCACACCTATGGGAGTTGGTTGACAAGTCATGTGACAAAAACTCCTGACATACAGTTTTTGTGCTGATGTTATACCAGGTAGGTTTGGAGCTTTGGAGTTACTGAGTCATCAGTACTTTTATGCACAATGCACCTCAGCATTTGACCTAACTCTAACTTTATGTGGTCTGAGACTTCATGGCTGAGTTGCTGTGGTCCTTGAATGCTTCCACTTCCATGCAACACCAGTTACAGTCTATTGTGGAATATCTAGGAGGGAAGAAATTTTGCTACCTGCAGCGATCACATCATGATGTATCACCATGCTCACATTAATTGAGCTTTATAGAACAACTCATTTTTTCACGAGTGTTTGTAAAGATGGCATGGACAGGTGTTTGATTTCATACAGCATGTTACCTGCATGTTCTCTGTTGGGCTTTTGCTGTGAGCCTCAGTGAAAAAGAGACATGGACAGTATAACCAATCCAATCCAATTTTATTTATAAAGCACTTTAAAATACCCAGCACAGGAACGAAGTGCTGTACAGAAAATAAGTTAAAACAATAGAATAACAGAAAACAGCAAAATAAATAAATAAAACACATAAAACGTAAAATTAAAACAGCCATATATTAAAACAAAAACAACATAAAACAGCATCAAATCACCTAAAAACAACTGAAACAAAAATAAAAACCACTCTGACGATCAGTGTATCATGGTGCCAGAGAACCACCCACAGTAACGAACACAATATAGATATAATACACAATCTTTATTCTAATGATAATAGCATGATATTTGCAGGAGCCAAAAATAATTATGTATAATATATGATGACTTCAGTGTCTAATGTGACTTTATTTGAATCTGTCCCATCTGATGGCTGCAGAAACATGGGCAGAGGAGATAAAGGCCTGTGATGCTACCTGGAGTGTGTGGCTGGAGCAGGACAACACAGTCTTTGACTTCTATAATGGTTATTTACCACCCATTTCCTCAGCCAAATACCAGAAAACTGGTTGTCAGAGGGGCAATTTAATAATAATTACACCATCATAACAGCAAAGTATCCTTAAAAAAATCATAATCAGAATACAATAAAATATTATCCTATTGTTATTACTGTTTAAATTATATATCACTTTTTTTTACAGTAAAAGTAATCTCAATGTCTTCCATATTGTAAATATAAAAGACAATAGGTGGGATACTGTTTGTCTGTGATTTGAACAGCCCAGCATGTGCTCCTGACGCAGGGAAAACAAATTATGCAGGGGAGACCTACCTTGGTACTTGTGCGGGTGAAACCAAAGGGAAGATATGCTTCACCATATTTTCTAGTCTTTGGCTTAGAATGAAGTTGGTTCGGATTCAGTGATGCTTCATCTCCTGCTTTGCGTTTCTGTGGGCGCCCCGTGATAGCAGTGTCCAAGTATTTTTTTTCTCTTTTTTTTTTCCCGTTTGGCCAGTGTAGAATAAACTGGATCAGACAACCAACAGGAAAAACACTACAATGGATGGGAGCTATCTTGCATGATGCAAGTAGGACTGCTTATGCCAGCAGCATGTAAGGATCTATAGAAATCACCAGAGACAACACCAATAAGATGGTGTATCTGAGACTGTCCAACCTAAAGCTAGAGGACTCTGCTGTGTATTATTGTGTCAGATAGAGTCACACAAGCCATTAGGAAACCTGAACAACAACCGCTCAGCCGCTGATCAGTTATAGCATGAAGGTATCAGAGCAGCTGTCAGACCAAAATAATAACAGATCAGAGCAGGATGGCACTTGAACAACGAGCAAAGTATAGTTAAATGAGTCATAGTTAGCTGTCGTTAGCATTACATTACAAAAACAAAATTACGATCTAATTTCTATAAATTTTCTATTAATTTTAATGTAACAAAAGTCATCTCAGTGTGAATCATGTTGTAAGGCAAAAAGGAACAAAGAGAAAAATCCAGGTTTCCCAAAGCAATGAGAGGAAAAACCTGATGAACCCTCTGCCTTTGATCCAGAGATACCTGCTATAGTGTGGCTGGAAACATTAAAATAGACTAAAAGTTAGAGAGAGAGAAGTGGGACTAATGAAAGAAGGTAAAAGTGGAGGAGATCCTTAGGCACATATACATAGAGGAGAAAAAAACAGGTATTTGTGTGTGTGTGTGTGTGTGTGTGTGTGTGTGTGTGTGTGTGTGTGTGTGTGTGTGTGTGTGTGTGTGTGTG